AATCTCAAAGTATTTTGATATGTATATTTCCAACAAATATACCAATCTGTATATATATATATATATTTTGTTTCCACAAATTACCAGATTGTTGTGTATGTTCCTCATTGGAGATACATACAAGTTGATACAAAGATTTTTTCGAAAATAATGAGGAGGAAGTTTGGGCAAACACATATTTGAAGACGTGTTATTGACACATCTTCTGTAAAGCATACATATTCTGGAAAGTTTCAACCCACTTTTTTTTAATAAAGTTTTAGCCCACTCTTTTGATATATGACAATATAATGTTTGTTTTTCTTATGTAGTTGTAATTTGATTGGCAACAGTAGCACTAATTGGTGTGCATTTTAATTTTAATTTCTTTTAAATTGCAAAGCACTAGCTGGTGTGCATTATTTGATATTTAATTTTTTTTATGTTTGATTTATTTGAAATTGTAGAGTACAGTCTGTTAAATATATTTTTATAACTGCATTTTAATCTTAATATTATTTACACCGTGCCTTTAGGCATGGGCATACATGTTTATAGATCCACAAATGCCTTACGAGCCAGATTTTACTATGTGTAGTGGAGATTAGATTAATAAATTTTATAGTTCACAAATTAAATGAATTTGAACAATTAACTATTATTTTGAAATATATTTAATACCTGATAGATTTCATAAATTTAGACCTTATATGAATCTTCAACATCTATATAATAAAGCATGATGGTTTTTGAATTTGTCCTACAAACATTTGTCCTACTAGGACAATTGGCTAGTTCAAATCTATTCAAATTATAAAACAACGGCTGAGATATATTTTTCAAAAAATATCCTACATATACATTTTCTATTTTCCCGCTTCTCTATCTTACTTTTTCCTTTTCTCACCCATCCTTCCATTATCCCATTATCCCACCTTCTTCTTTCTTTTCTTTTTATTTTTTTTTATTTTCTTCCATTTTTTTTCTCTCTATTTGTTTTTTTTTTCTCCTTTTTGTTCACTTATTTTTATTCATATTATATGAAAAAGTCTACGATCTCATAATTAGGAGTCAGATTTTACTGTGTGTAGTGGAGATTATATTAATGAAATTTTTACTCCACAAATTAAATGAATTTGAACAATTAATTATTATTTTTAAATATATTGAATACCTGATAGACTTCATAAATGTAGATATCATATAAATCTTCAACATCTATATAAAAAAAGCAGGATGGTTTTTGAATTTATCCTACACACATTTGTCCTACTAGGACATTTGGACGGCTTAGATCTATTCAAATTATAAAACAACGCTAAGATATATTTTTAAAAAAATATCCTGCGTGTACATTTTCTATTTTCCCACTTCTCTCTCTTACTTTTTTCTTTTCTCACACATCCTTATATGATCGCATTATCCCACCTTCTCTCTTTTTAATTTTTTTTTTATTTTCTCCTTTTTATTCACTTATTTTTATTCATATTATATGGAAAAATTTATGATCCCAGAATTAGGAGTCAGATTTTATTGTGTGTAGTGGAGATTAAATTAATTGAATTTGAATAATTAAAAAATATTTTTAAATATATTAAATACATGATAAACTTCATAGATTTAGATCTCATATGAATTTTCAACACATTTTAATAAAGAAGGACAACCTTTGAATCTTCAACATATTTTTGTCCTATTAGAACATTTGGATTGCTCAGATCTGTTCAAATTATAAAACAATGGTGGAGATATACTTTTCAAAATTGTCTTACATGTACATTTTATATTTTTCCGCTTCTCTCTCTTACTTTTTCCTTTTCTCACACATCCTTCCATGATCCCACCTTCCTTCATCTTTTGTTTTTATTTTTTTTTATTTTATCTCGTTTTTATTTTTCTCTCTGTTTGTTTTTTTTAATTTTATTTTCTCCTTTTTATTCAATATATTTTACACATATTTTCATACAATGTATGTATGCCTATAATACATTAGGATATTACGGCATACATACAATTTCCATATAATTATATAAGCAAAAACAATATTGTATGTATGTCTATGGAAATTGTATGTATGCCAAGCACATCTATCTATCTGGTTATATATTATATAAGCAAAAGAGAGTTTTGTGAGAACTCCAAAATTTTATAATAAGTTTGTAATTTTATCAAATAAAAAAAAATAGTGTTGGGATTGCAATTATATTCTAATTCTAACATTATTTTCACCGTGCCTTCAGGTACGGACATACCATCCTCAGACATTTTCTCCTACTAGGATATTTGGACTGCTCAGATCTATTCAAATTGTAAAATAACAGCTGAGATATATTTTTCAAAAAATATCCTACATATACATTTTTTATTTTCCCACTTCTCTCTCTTACTTTTTTCTTTTCTCATCCATCCTTCCATGATCTCATGATCCCACCTTCTTCTTTCTTTTATTTTTATTTTTTTATTTTCTCCCATTTTTATTTTTCTCGCTATTTGTTTATTTTTTTAATTTCTCTTTTTGTTCACTTATTTTTATTCATATTATATGGAAAAGTTTGCGATTCCAGAATTAGGAGTCAGATTTTACTGTGTGTAGTGGATATTAGGTTAATGAATTTTATAGTTCACAAATTAAATGAATTTGAACAATTAATTATTATTTTTAAATATATTTAATGCCTGATAGATTTCATAAATTTAGACCTTATATGAATTTTCAACATCTATATAATAAAGCAGGATGGTTTTTGAATTTGTCCTACATACATTTATCCTATTAGGACATTTGACCGGCTCAGATCTATTCAAATTGTAAAACAATAACTGAGATATATTTTTTAAAAAATATTCTGCATGTACATTTTCTATTTTCCCACTTCTCTTACTTTTTCCTTTTCTCACCCATCCTTCCATGATCCCACGATCCCACCTCCCCATTTTTTTCTTTTTCTTTTTTTATTTTCTCTCATTTTTACTTTTCTCGCTATTTGTTTATTTTTTTAATTCTCTTTTTTCTTCATTTATTTTTATTCATATTATATGAAAAAAAACCTCTAAAGACCTTTAATTTCGATTGTGAACCGTGGCAGAGCCACATGATGACCGGGGGTCACGTGTCCCCTTGTATTTTTATTTTTGTTTTTTATTTTTTTACATATATATATATATATATCATAAAATTTAAACAAAATTGATATTTAAGAATCAAATGTCCAATAACATTTTTAAATTTAGGAGAACAATAGTAATTATTTTATTGAAAATGAAGTGACTATAACAAATTATATTTTTATATTTGAAAATTTGGTGAAAAAATCTCAATATAAAAGGTATATCTATCATTATTGATATGCAAATATAATTAATCTCACTATATATATGGAAAATTACAAAAGTGTTAATTATATTTGCATGTAGAGTTTACCCTTCATATGTTGCTTATTATTGGTTGGTAATATCATGTGTCAATGATGATTTAATATCAACTATAATATGAAATTTTTATTCAATTTTGTAAAAAATTTAATTTATCTTACCATTATATAATTTATTTTAAGACTTAAAATATGACTTTTTTACACTGCCTAGATACATTAATTACACGCAATACTTTCTTTTCAATTTTACTCAAAGTTAATTGTCAATTGTGTGAAATTTTTTGTAATAATTTATTTAGATTTTGTATTTAATATTAATTCAAAAATTATTATTATATTCTTATTGTTGATTATGGAAAAAAAATAAAGTTTGTAATTAATATGTATTTGACATTGCACTAAAAAGTACACTTTTTTACATAATACATTTATTAGGTCACAATAATCATCTTTCTCTCTACATTCATATTTACATTCTTTACTTTTTTTACATTTTTTTAATAAAAATTCCAAAACTATATACTTATTCAAAACTCTTAAACCACCCACCATCTGATTTCGTGCCTCCACTACTGATTGTGAAGACATGAATCGATTTGCGCCTTTTTTTTAATAATCTACTAATGCCATAAAACTTAAAAATATTTGGGAGTCCAGCCTTGGGCAGGGTCAGCTTTGCATATCTAATGTGCCACATTCGCAAGGTGGTTGTAAAGGTATTCATGTCTCATTCATTATTTATATATAATATATATATAATAAATTTGAACTGATTCATTTTCATATTCAACTATTAAGAATTATTATACATGCTAAATAAAAAATGATATAAAATATGATACATAGAAAAATTTTTTTTTTTTAACAAATTTTTTTGTTGATAAATTATTTTTTTGAACAATTTTTAATAGAGTATCAATTTATGCAAAAAGAAAATTTCATTGTATCGATTTATTAAAATCATAGTAATAAGATGGAAGAGATGAAAAAATCCTGGTGAAGGTTATAAGATGTGCAAGTAGCAAAGCAATGTAAAGCTGGATACTGTTGCCAAACAAAAACTTGCTAGCTTTTAGTCTCACTGTAATATCACAGTATCTATGGCCTCAACACACCCCCTTGAAAAATCACTCAACCACCACCCAATGTAATGAAAATCTTCCTCCAGGTTCTGTATTTCTCAGGTGCGCATTTCCTTAACCACCATCACCACCACAGAAATGACTAATCTGATGAAAGCCCACGGCCTGCTGCTAGATGAATGTTAGTACATGACGATAAAATGAGCAAATCCTTTGAAGTGAAAAGCTATTCGTCGCATAAATTCGAACCAAAACACAACCATGAACCTCAGCAATAAAAACTTGCAAGTCCAACATCAATCAAACTACTAGTGAAAATATAGACACCAGCTCTAAAATATAGATTGTATAATTCTCAGGTATGCCATTACCAAAACACCATCAACCCGCCACCACATCATGACCAATCAAATATGATGACAACCGCAGCCTGCTACTACATGACTGCTAGTAACGCCACTCCACAAAACAATGAAGAATCATTGAAGCCAAAAGCTGATAATGCAAATGTTCATTGTATAATTTCCAAACAAAAACACAACCATTAACCTCAACAAAAAAACACTATAGCATAAAACTTAACTTTTATTTATTAAAGATACCATGATATTATAGAAGCACACGGAAATTGAAAAGTAAAATAGAAAATAAAAAAAGACAAAACAGTTTTCAAAAGCCATTTAACAATAATGGCTCACAAACACGAACACATTTATTCTACGGACTACCATCTCACAGCCGACCAACCATCACATCACACTTAGAAACCACCTCGGAGGCGGAGGACAAGATGCAGAGTGGACTCCTTCTGGATGTTGTAGTCAGCTAGAGTCCTTCCATCTTCTAGCTGCTTCCCAGCAAAGATCAACCTCTGCTGATCTGGTGGAATACCCTCCTTATCCTGGATCTTAGCCTTGACATTGTCAATGGTGTCAGAACTCTCAACCTCCAAGGTGATGGTCTTCCCGGTCAATGTCTTCACAAAAATCTGCATCCCACCACGAAGACGCAGCACCAAGTGTAGGGTCGACTCCTTCTGTATGTTGTAATCAGCCAAGGTACGCCCATCCTCCAACTGCTTCCCGGCAAAAATCAACCTCTGCTGGTCCGGTGGGATTCCTTCCTTATCTTGGATCTTGGCCTTGACATTGTCGATGGTATCGGAGCTCTCAACCTCGAGGGTAATGGTCTTGCCGGTCAAGGTTTTGACGAATATCTGCATGCCACCCCTGAGACGGAGCACAAGGTGGAGGGTAGACTCCTTCTGAATGTTGTAGTCGGCGAGGGTACGCCCGTCTTCGAGCTGCTTGCCAGCGAAGATCAACCTCTGCTGGTCTGGTGGGATGCCTTCCTTGTCCTGGATCTTGGCCTTGACGTTGTCGATGGTGTCGGAGCTCTCAACCTCGAGGGTGATGGTCTTACCAGTCAACGTTTTCACGAAGATCTGCATCCCACCCCTGAGACGGAGGACCAAATGAAGGGTGGACTCTTTCTGGATGTTGTAGTCGGCGAGGGTACGGCCGTCCTCTAGTTGCTTTCCGGCGAAGATGAGTCTCTGCTGATCTGGGGGAATTCCTTCCTTGTCCTGGATCTTGGCCTTGACGTTGTCGATGGTGTCAGAGCTCTCCACCTCGAGGGTGATTGTCTTGCCGGTGAGGGTTTTCACGAAGATTTGCATGCCGCCTCTGAGGCGAAGCACCAAGTGGAGGGTCGATTCCTTTTGGATGTTGTAGTCCGCAAGGGTACGGCCGTCCTCGAGTTGCTTTCCGGCAAAGATGAGTCTTTGCTGATCCGGGGGAATTCCTTCTTTGTCCTGGATCTTGGCTTTGACATTGTCGATGGTGTCAGAGCTCTCCACCTCGAGGGTGATAGTCTTGCCGGTGAGGGTTTTCACGAAGATCTGCATCTGTACGAATCAATAACCAAATATATCAGAAACCTAGATCGTGAACCTAAGATTATCAAAATAAAAGCAAATCGAGGATTCCCTCTATACAAATCTTTAAATACGTACAAAAATCAACAGATCCGAAAAGCTTGTTTTATTTTTGTCAGAAAAAATATAGATCTATCGATCCAATTAAAGTTTTCAAAACTTGAATAAACCAAAATCGATCAAATTGTCAAATTGTTGAAACAGATCTTGAAAACTCCAATAAATTATAAACAATTGACTTCAAAACAGATCTCAGGAAGAAAAAAAAAATAGCAACTACGAACAAATCGCCACAACATTGAGAGATCTATCAATCCATCAGAAAATCAACAGATTTGACCATTTTTAGATCTAGCCATCCATCAAGGAAAAGAATAATTTCGAAAACAAATCTTGAAAAAACAAAGGCGATCAAACTTTTTACACAGGTTTTACAAACCAAGAAATCAAAAACAGATCTCAAAAAAAGCAATTGAGAATAAATAGATCTACCAATTAATTAATCCGATAAAAAAATTCTGAAGAGATTGAGAACTAAAAGAATGACAAACGAAGAAGCCCTAATTACCTTGAGAGAGGAAAAAAGAGCTTTCGAAGAATCGCAGAAGAAGATAGAAGAGACGATAGAATGAACAAACCGGGTTAGGAACGCCTGTATTTAAAGGCTGAGATTGGCTATCTATAGACGAAACTGCCCCTTAGGTTTTTCCAATTAGGAGGCTGGCTATCTTTAGACGAAACTGCCCCTCAGGTTTTTCCAATCAGGAGGCGGCACGCGTAATGCATGACGTGGGATGCACCAAACCAACACGGCAAAGCAACGACTTTGTTCTTTCCCCAGAGTAAGTAATGCTGGTCCCACGCGCTCCTTGACAGTGTTCACCACACACAAGATCATATATATGAACCAAACAAAAATGATTTGGATCACTAAAAAAGGACCTCTAATGCATCTCTAATTTGTCTTTTTCTTCTCTATTTTTTGTCTTTTACTTCACTCTTTTTGTATTTCTATCGCAATATTAAATACTCATAATATTTTTTTTTTCCAAAACAATACCCCAAAAGACATTTGTATGGTTCAAATTTATTTGAAATTTAGGTCTTATATCACAACAGTTGAATCTATATCGCATTTTATTTTTCTTAATTCAAAATTTTACAAATTTTTTTTGGAAATGTAACTTTTCTAATTTTTCTGACTATGTAGATTAGAAAGTTAAATGACATCCGTCAAGATAAATATTAATTAGTTTAAAATTTGATTATTTAATATTTTAAAATTTTTACTAAATCATTAGTGGTGATGAAATATATATATATATATACTAAAAATGTATATAAATTAAAACGGAATGAGTAAACAAATATATATCAATTTATTTCAAACCAAGAGATATATTAAAATGATATAATTTTTAAAATATTATTATCACATCATTATTATAAGACTTTTTAAATAATTTTTTTATTTGCAAATCTTTCGCATTTTATTTTATTTTATTTTGTTTGAGGAAATCTTTTTCCACGGTGAATTTTGGTTCATGGGTCAAGCTCCGGAGCTCCTCTAATTAGAGCTGCAACAGTGCAGAGCTGTCATCTATAAATAAATTAAAAAAAAAAA